GTAGCCTACTGTACATTACTTCGCTTATCAAATATCAATATATTGATCACGTTGTGTGGAGCACTATTGCTTTCCCACAGTGCAATGCGTTTGTCTTGACCCACAATCAGTTATGATTTTTAACGTGTCTTTTGTCAGGCATCATTTGATTTTTACAGCCAAAAGTTAGATTTTTACATGAAATTGTCGATTTCACTAAATTCCTCTTGCTGCTGTAAAACATGAAATATCCTTTTACATTTACGATTTGTTTGTCGCGTAATGCATTATCACTCACTCACTCATTGACTCAAAAAAATGTGAGATATTGGATGAAAATGCAATCCAAATACATCAGGTGTTTTTTTTTAAACTAAATTAGCACTATTCATCACAAAGGTTAAACACGCACATAGGCCTATATGAAAATTATGTAGATGATTTAAAAAAAAATTATAAGATTTATTTTGCCTTGGTACTCTTTTACTGGTTCATGGCTGCTTAAAATAAATAACAAAGCCAAAAACAGATCTTTATTAGAGGAAATGGCATGCTTAGGATTTGAATGAAACATCAGTTTATAAAGCCTGTATCGTTTTAAGCATTTCTTCTCCAATAAATGATAGAAGATGTCTACTCGAGTCTGTGGCAACACCATTTTCTTTATTCAGAGTACGATGTGTCAACATCCAGCATGACAAATATTGTACAAATTTCCACAATTTAAAAATGAAAACTCACCGCAACATTTATAGTAAAATTAAAATGTCAACAAATTCATGCTGTATATCGTACAAAAATAAATCAAACTCCAGTTCCACAGAGAGCACAATAGTTTATACAAAATCCCATCTTCATCGATGATTAAACAAATCAACCTTGAAATGAAGAATTGCAGATAAATAAACTCATGAATTCACAATAATTCATATGAAAACTCGCATTCTAACACGTGACTTCTTTTGTTTTACCTTGGGTAATTAGTCACATATCCTTTGCAGATCAATATTATGCAATATCAAGTAAATGAGCAGCATGTTTGTGCTTAAATTCCCGTTTCCATTGAACCGACTGATTCAAAAACCCATACTAGCTATTTCTCTATTGAAAGCATTACTATATCGGCAGAAAGCTGCATGAGTGACGATGGAGCCCTAAAAAAGGGCCGATTTGTACAATGGATGCCCCTTTGCGTTAGCTCTCAATAGTATTAACAAGGTTGCTACGGCTAATAGTACGATGGAGATCAGGGGACCCCCTCAAAACTCTACCATTGGGAGATGGTCTTCTTAAAATGCTTTATTTTGATTGACTACTCTTTTATGGTTTTGTACAATGATTAGACATAAAGTGCTGCTGGGGATTATTTTGTATGATACAGAACATACTCGACGAACTAGCATCGTTATTTAAAAATGCACAATATTTCTTGTAAAGATATTGTCCTCGTGAATATCTCAATCCCTGTAATCTCTCGCCAAACCGCTGAACGTCTGTCGTCGCGCCTTCCTCGTGCCAAAGAGACACCTGGAGATTGCACATCGTCCGAAGGTGGGATAAGTGCAAATAGTCTTCTGGCACAAAAAGTGGCGGGCAAAAACCCTGTAGGTCCCGTTTTCATTGTCTTTACTGTGTGTGTCCTTTTCAAAATCCTTCTGCGTTAGTTTCCAGACTGTAGAAACGTCCGAGCTTGGAAACGAAGGTGTCGTCCGTCTCTAAACCCAATTTCCACTTCCCTTTAAAACATTTGTATTAAAAGATTTATATAAAAATCAATCATTTACATATCGTAAAAAGATTCTGTCGCTTCCACTGTTTACAAACATGAAATTGCATATACCCACCACATAGATTGCATCTCTCTCTCCCTCTCTCTCTCTCTTTTATACACATGGTTTAGTCAAATATTGCTGAGACAGTTCCATTGTGGCTACTGTAATTTCAAGAATAGACCCAAGTGAAGACGTACAACATGTGGCGCGATGTTAGAGCTGCTATTGCGTTACACTGATGCAGATGCCACAAATAATCAAAGCGTTTCCGTTTGTATGTTAAAGCAGTATCAGGAACTCCGCCGTAGCTTTCCCTGTCATGACACTTACCAAGATCTTTAACACCAATGTTTTTTTTTTTACTCCGCATCTTTTTAATTGATAGCTTATATGGTATAATGCTTCATTACGAAGGTCCACTAACTATAAGTTCGCAACTACATGTCAAATAACAGTCATTCGAGTATTAGTAGACTGTTGGCTAAATATCTAACACATTATTTTGATGCGCTCCAACAGAAAGTCTACCGATTCCCGTTCTATCTTGAAACTCTAGATGGCTCAGGCTGATTGGTCAAATTTCACGTGCGATACAGAGTGCCGAAGTGATGACGTCACTTTGTAGGACAACTCGGAAGCTAGCGGCGCATGGGTTGCCTTGATCGAAAAGCAATGCATTTTCCCCATAGACTTTTGGAAAATCGCAAAAAATAAGATCTGCGTTCAACAAAGAGTTGCAAACCTTACACGTTTTGTCTATCAAGATAATCTTTACAAGTTAATCCGAAATGTATACATTTTGAAGCCTATATAATTTTTTTTTTTTAAAAACACAAGCAGATACAATAAAGTTTAAAAAAACACACGTAGGTTATAACTGTGTGTTTTATATCATAGATCAAAACGTAAAAATATTTAGAGGCTTTGTTCACCACAGACCTTATTTCAGGCGATTTAGCAAAAATCCATTCAAAAATCCCATAGACTTTAGGGCGAGTGAACCGGGAGAGCTAAAATGCTAACTCACTTCCGCGTTTTGGCCGCGGAATGTGTCGTCATAACTTCGTCATAACTTCGGCACTCTATTTGCCGACGTTTAATGCCTTGTGACTAAACAAAGGGCGTTAATGTGAGTGTGGCGTGAAAATGGCTCGCGTAAAAGCGGAATTAAAAAAAAAAAAAACATCTCGGGTTTGTTTTTTTGGTTTGACGCACCACGTCAAAAACTATCCGACCAATGAGATTGGCGCTTTTGCTCATGTGTCTGGAGCTTCTGAAGATACAGTAAAACACAACTTGGGGGCGCTCAAACACAAAACGGTCTTGCCGAGCACACATGCGTAACGGCGAAGAAGATATACGCCAAGTAGAGTCCACACTGCCGGGAAGAAATAAAATGCAAGGCAAGATGAATGTAGAGCTGCTGGTCTCGTTGATGTCGTAACATAAAGAACTATACGACAAACGCGACTGCGACTACAAAATAGGTCTATGTCTGTTTTACATTAAACGCCATCTAATGTCAGGGAATGAATTTGCATGTTCACTCGGCTCATCGTCAGCGAAAATTGCTTGGGTGCGAACACAAAAAACGCTGGCGAATAATGCGCACCGATATTTGCTCCGGTGTGTACGGCCCTTAACTCGTTTGGTAGCGATCACATCATTTTCTACATAGTGCTGTTGATTGGTTGCTGTTGCATCAGTGGCCAATAGGGGTGTAACGATTCACTCGTTTTCTCGATGCATCGATTATAAATCCTGGCGATGCATATGCATCGATCCTGAAACATGTATTTTGAATCGTGAATCGTTTATTTACGTGAATAATCGATTTAAAAGGCTAAGAATCGAATTAATCACGATTTTATAGCGATTCAGTGGTTTAAAATATATAAACACAACCTTAAAGTGTTCCTGGTACAAGCTGCCTCACGCATTGGCCGTCATACGACATCCGCATTTGATTGGTTTCAGGCGCTCACACACCCCTGATTTCGCACGCTGAAGCCCGGTCGGTCAAATGCCTGAAAGATGAGTTATTCTTTCTACCTGTTGAGCTACTCATGTCGTGATCAGCTTGTATTACTGCAAATTAGTTAAAATCTCCCGGAATCTAGAGCGAGTGTGCATACGAGACAGAGGTTGTGCTCCAAACCGCGTATCGCGCGTTCACACACGGCTGCACGCACTCGGCAGAGAGGGAAAGCGATCAAGAGACCACCTTGCGTGTACGGAGAGTCCATGTAATAAATGAATAAAAGCGTTTTATTTCATAGTGCCCACGCAATGGCATGGCAGCTTTATCAATGGCTTGAGCGGTTTGCCTCAAAACTATTGCTTTCTCGACAGAGAGCTCAGCTGGAGAGCTCAAACATGGACTGCTCAAAAATCTGTAGTTACATGAGAGCTATGGGACCGAGCGCGAGCAAAATCCAGTGAAAAGATGATAACGAGTGCACTGAGAGGACGTAAAATGAAACTAATGAAATCGTCTCCATTAATGTGTGCATGTAGTCATTTAATGCAATACTTTAAAAGCCTTTTTCAAAATATTTGCTACTTGCAAATGCTAATTTTTTAGGCCATTGAATTTTTTTTATAATAATATATTCATTAAAATTAAAAACAAACATGAACTAACATTAACAATGGACAAAATCCCCACTATCTGATCCCCGAAGGCCGCTGTAGGCTAATTCAAACCCAGACAAAGATGGGTGAAGCATTGAAATAATACTATAATGCTTAAGAATCGAATCGAATTAATCGAATCGCATCGAATTTGGATGTGAATCGCATCGAATCGTTCTGAATTTGCACAAATCGTTCATGAATCGAATCGAAAGCCTATGAATCGTGAATCGAATCGATTCGCTGTCTACCCAAAGATTCACAGCCCTAGTGGCCAACATTCAAATACCGGTGTGTTGCTGTTATCAGTTTCCAGCACGCTTTCAGAAACCCTCCCCCTTCCCCAGCTCCACCTGTATAGATCTGCCACAGGGTTACACCATGTCTGTTACATGTGCAGCATAGCAGAATGCCTTACATGCTCACAGCAATGTCTGTGAATGTACCGGCTGTGGAAAGTCTCAGTACTATGCAGATCTATGCAGTCAAGACCAAATACATTAACATTTCCATACACTCTAAAAAATGCTGGGTTGTTTTAACCCAACTTTGGGTCAAACATGGACAAACCCAGCCGTTGGGTTACATTTTTACATTACATTTTTTTACCCAACATTTGGGTTTGTCCATATTTGACCCAAAATTGGGTTAAACAACCCAGCATTTTTTAGAGTGTATCCAATCTCTATTACCATACCAATCTCATGACAGTTGTCATGACAGAACTATAAGTAATGTTTCAACTACGCCAACTTATTCTTCTAACCCTAATCTGACAGTCTACTAACACTCTGAGAATTTGTTGACATGCAGTTGCAAAGTCAGTAGAATGTCTAAAGTAGACTATTGGTAAAAGGGTAACCGTTGATATCAATGATTAAAAGAAACAGCACTGATCGTGTTTCACTAGATCTTTTACTGAGTTAACCTCTGTGATTTTAACTCTATATCAGCAAGCGTCACAAACTAATGTTCAGTAGTGGATGCATTACTGTTGAATAACATACACAAAAAGGTGCATAAATGAGCAGCGAGAAGGATGATTCACGTTACAAAACGTACAAAATGTGAATGCTTTCCAAAACCATTTTGCAGATATTTTTTTTTAAAAGCAAGGCCAGAAAAATAAACCCAAAGAAAAATGTTTAGTCAGCATAACACTTTTTAAAAGAACATGAATTCAACACTGTTCGATAAACAGCAAAATGTGAGGCATCCCATATGATGATTATTTTTTTTTTTCTTTCTGAAAATGTCTTTTGTTCCCTGTGTTCCTCCGCTGTAGGAAAGTGGCCACGCTAGACTTGAATGCCTTGTACTGCTTGTTTGATGTTTTCTAGCAGGGCCTTGTTCTCTGCGCTCTGATACTGATCTTGATTGGTGTACATGTCCGTTAGCGTGGTCACATATGCGTCAAAGCTCTGTTCGCTCATTGGATCCTGTGAAAACACAGAGGAAAGATCCTGTCAGAGGAAATACAGTATGTGGAAGATGACAACAACACGGAATCTCGGTTGAACACTTTTGAGAGTTTAGTGAGAAATTATATTTTAAAGAAAATCGAAAAAATTGAGATTCTAATTCAGTTTCTGGAATTGAGGGGCAAACATGATGCAGACTTGTATTTAAAATTTGAATTAAAAAAAAAAATAGAATTAAAATAGAATACATTTAAAATAAATTAATGTAACTGCTGTAGTATAATAACCCCAGAAACATAAGGGCTATTTCAAATTGGTGCCATTAGATTCAAATTTTAATGGCATTTATTATTATTTTTCTTTTTTAGATGGAGAGATCTGAAAACAATGTATTGAGCATTTTGTGCTCTATTCTTTTTCCTTTTTTTTTTTACTTTAATGCCTGTTAATATTGACAGTACTGCATTTAGTTGTAAGATTCATTATAATAAGCCTTTAGTCTAAATCATGTGACAAGATTGGCATAAATTGTAAAAACAAATATGTAATTATTTATGTTTTAGTCAGTTATTTATGTAGGTAGGTAAAGGGTAGAAAGGTAGGAAGATAACATGTATGTAGAGAGGTGGGCATGTATGTAGATAGGTGGGTAGATAGGTAGTGAGATAGGTGTGTAGGTATGTAGATAGATAGGTGGGTAGGTATCTAGATAGGTACTGTAGTTGAGTAGATAGGTATGGAGATATGTAAGGTAGGTAGATAGGTGGGTAGATATGTAGATAAGTCTGTAGATAGGTACTGTAGTTGGGTAGATATGTAGGGAGATTGGTGGGTTGTTGTGTAGATAGGTAGTTAGATAGGAAGATAAGTGTGTAGGTAGATAGATAGGTACTGTAGTTGGGTAGACAGTTGGTGAGATAGGTGGGTAGGTATGTAGATAAGTGGGTAGGTATGTAGATAGGTTCTGTAGTTGGGTAGATAGGTAGGAAGATAGATGGTTAAGTATGTAGATAGGTAGGTAGATAGGTGGGTAGATAGGTAGGAATATAGATGGGCAGGTATGTAGATAGGTGGATAGATAGGTAGGAAGATAGGTGGGTAGATATGTGGGTAGGTACAGAATGTAGATACAGTAGGTACAGTATGTAGATAGGTGGGTAGATAAGTAGGTAGATGGATGGTGAGTAGATAGGTAGGTAGATAGATAGGTGGGTAGATAGGTAGGAGGATAGGTAGATATATAGATAGGTGGGTAGATAGGTAGGAAGTTAGGTAGATAGATAGGTGGGTAGATAGGTAGGAGGATAGGTAGGTAGATATGTAGATAGGGGGTACATAGGTAGAAAGATAGGTAGGTATATATGTAGATAGGTGGGTAGATATGTGGGTAGATGGATAGGTGGGTAGATAGGTAGGTAGATAAGTAGGTAGATAGATAGGTGGGTAGATAGGTAGGAGGATAGGTAGGTAGATATGTAGATAGGTGGGTAGATAGGTAGGAAGATAGGTAGGTATGTAGATAGGTGGGTAGGTAGGTAGTTTGATAGATAGGTATTTAGGTAGAACAGTAAATGATTAGAGGTGGGTCAGTAGGTATAGATAGGTAGATAGCTAGGTTGATATATAGGTAGGTTGGTAGGTTTATAGATAGATTGGTAGGTAGGTTAATAGGTTTATAGACAGGTAGGTTAATAGATAGGTAGGTAGGTTTATTGACAGGTGGATAGGTAGGTACTAACATGGTAGTAACCATAAACAACATAATTTCTGTGTATAGGTGGACATATCGTGAATGAAAGATTAAATCATAATGACGTTCACCATGACCAACACCAACTGTGCTCTGTTTCAAATATGACAGACATATTGAAAGCATATAAATATTCCTATGTATAGTGAGGGTAAGAGTTGTGTGGACTTACTCTCTGATGCAACTGTAAACAGCTGTTGTGTCTGACTGGAGGCTCTTTGTGAAGTGATTTCTAGAACAAAAAAACAAAACCGTATTAGCTTCCAGTGTTCAACATGCTCAATATGAGATCAGCATGCTGTCAACACCCAACTTACCGGTACATTCTGTAGGACATGATGCCATTTAAGTCCCAAGGATTTACTTTATAAATGTTTTTATTTATTATTATTATTATTATTATTATTATAAATATTCCCTAATCCATATGTTAAATAAAACATCAAGCTCAAAATGGCAGCTCTGTTATGAAGGAAATAATCTGATTGCTGACAATGAATAATGTGAATCTGTATGATATTTGGTAGTTAAAGGGTTAGTTCACCCAAAAATGAAAATTAAGTCATTAATTACTCACCCCCATGCTGTACCAACCCCGTAAGACCTTCGTTCGTCTTCGGAACACAAATGAAGATATTTTTGATTAAATTTGAGAGGTGGATCACTGCTACATAGGCTGCCTAAGGGAATGAAACTTGACGGCCCAGAAAGTCAATGAAGAAAATGTTTAAATATTCCATGTGACTACCGTGGCTCAAGTATAAGTTTATCAAGCGACGACAAAACTTTTTGCAAAAAAACAAACAAAAATGACGACTTTATTCGACTATTCGGTATACTTACCTTGAAAGTGGAACAGGGGTAGGTTTAGGGGTAGGTTCAGGGTTAGTAAATGGTAAATGGACTGCATTTATATAGCGCCTTCATAGACCTAATGGCCACCAAAGCGCTTTACATTTGCCTCACATTCACCCATTCATACACTCATTCACACACCGACGGCGGTGTCAGCCATGCAAGGCGCCAGCTCGTCGGGAGCAGCTGGGGTTAGGTGTCTTGCTCATGGACACCTCGACACTTGGTCAGGTGGAACCGAGGATTGAACCACCAACCTTTCGGTTCGTAGACAACCCACATGAACCACTGAGCCACTGCCGCCCCGGTTGGTACTAGTTATTACCCAGTAATTGTAGTTACTAAAATTGTAGTACATAGTATTTACATGGGTAACTGGACTGTAAAAGGAAGTGTTACCGAAATCCCTTGAACTCTCATCTCAGGCCTACAAGGAAGAAAAGGAATAGTTGAATAAAGTTGTTATTTTTGTTGTTTATTCCGCACAAAAAGTATTGTCGTCACTTGATAAACTTATACTTGAGCCACTGTTGTCACATGGAATATTTAAACATTTTCTTCATTGACTTTCTGGGCTGTCAAGTTTCAATCCCTTAGGCAGCCTATGTAGCAGTGATCCACCTCTCAAATTTAATCAAAAATATCTTCATTTGTGTTCCGAAGACGAACGAAGGTCTTATGGGATTGGTACAGCATGGGGATGAGTAATTAATAAATTAATTTTCATTTTTGGGTGAACTAACCCTTTAAAGTGTGTTTTTTTTTTTGATAGACCTTTACCCCACATTGTTCAACAAAGACATTACATGGAAACAACCGTTAATTCATATTGCATAAAACCCCAGACTGATACTACAATAATTGTTATGTATTCCAATTAAAAGCATTTAAATTCCAAGCTTATGTGACTTCAGGGTTGAGTAATGATCAACTATTCATACTTTGTAAGGCTTGAGGAGTCAGTGGTGATTACAGCTCGGATACTGTGGGACTGAAATGAGAGAAAATGTCACAGATCTCACTGTTTCCTGAGAATGGGCTTCATCTAAACCTTTTAAGAAACAACCAGTCTAACAACTAAAACTATCAAAATTGAAACAAAGACACCTACATCTTAGATGCCCTTGAGGTAAGCTAAAACATACCAAAAATTAATTTCAAAGTGAACTATCCCTTTAAACTAGACTAAAACCAGGCTTTGAGACTAAAACCAGCAAACCATCTATTATGGTATATACTACAAACTGGTTTATGCTTTTTCGTTGTTGTTTGTTTTAGCGGAGCTGGCCTTTTAAAGAGGCTTTCAGCTCAAAGCAAGTTCCCCTTGACTCCAAACTCAGATTACACCAGTTGACCGCCATGACGTTTGACGTATGGACTAGTTTGAAACGACCCGGTCGTGCCGTAGTGCTGAAGTGGCCTCAAGCCTAACACTGTTCTTTCTTGATTTTTCTAAATGAACAGACTAAAGCAGTACGCTCTCTGTCCAGGACTTGTCGTCATTCTGCTGGGGATGGACCCTTACCATCTGCGCTAGCTGGATATTAGCTAAACTGTTTATCAGTGAATGCCTTAGGCGGGCCGGCTCAAGCAGGAGAGATTGGTTTTGCTGTTCAATCACCTTGTTTTCCTCTTCTAAAGACCTCAGGTTAGACTCCATTGTGGTGATCTGTGGGACATGAATCGACACACTTGTTAATTCTGATAAAAATAGTCTTCGTAGTATGGCAACATAATGTTTAAACTCAGACTGTACAGTATAAAGTACACTGTGGGATTGAAATTTGATTTATTACACATTTTGCATTTACACTGTAAGGCCTAATGTACTGAGCCACTGTTCACACACACACACACACGCATACACAAACACACGCACACACAGTTTATCTGTATGTTTTTCTGTTGTGCAGCTTCATATTTTGTAGAAACCATTTTTTCAGGATCCTTTGAATAGAAATTTGAAAAGAACAGCATTTGTTTAAAGTAGAATTTTTCTGTAACATTGTACGTCTTTACTGTAACCTTTGATCAATGCAACTTTGCTGAATAAAGTTATTAAATTCTGTAAAACAAACAAACAACAACAGCAAAAACATGAATATATGTGTACACTCACCTAAAGAATTATTGGAAACACCATACTAATACTGAGTTTGACCCCCTTTCACCTTCAGAACTGCCTTAATTCTCCGTGGCATTGATTCAACAAGGTGCTGAAAGCATTCTTTAGAAATGTTGGCCCATATTGATAGGATAGCATCTTGCAGTTGATGGAGATTTGTGCGATGCACATCCAGGGCATGAAGCTCCCGTTCCACCACATCCCAAAGATGCTCTATTGGGTTGAGATCTGGTGACTGTGGGGGCCATTTTAGTACAGTCAACTCATTGTCATGTTCAAGAAACCAATTTGAAGGGATGGACATGGTCAGAAACAATGCTCAGGTAGGCCGTGGCATTTAAACGATGCCCAATTGGCACTAAGGGGCCTAAAGTGTGCCAAGAAAACATCCCCCACACCATTACACCACCACCACCAGCCTGCACAGTGGGAACAAGGCATGATGGATCCATGTTCTCATTCTGTTTACGCCAAACTCTGACTCTACCATCTGAATGACTCAACAGAAATCGAGACTCATCAGACCAGGCAACATTTTTCCAGTCTTCAACTGTCCAATTTTGGTGAGCTCTTGCAAATTGTCGCCTCTTTTTCCTATTAGTAGTGGAGATGAGTGGTACCCGGTGGGGTCTTCTGCTGTTGTAGCCCATCCGCCTCAAGGTTGTGTGTGTTGTGTCTTCTTCACAAATGCTTTGCTGCATACCTCGGTTGTAACGAGTGCTTATTTCAGTCAAAGGTGCTCTTCTATCAGCTTGAATCAGTCGGTGGGAACAGACAGTCAGGGCGAAACAGAGAGTCCATCGGCGAAACAGAAACCGGCTCAAAAACAGCAACAGACACCAGCTCGGGCAGCGCCGGCAGGATAGGCCGTCTAAGCAGTGCGTCAGGGATGGCCATCACCTCCGGGATGGTCTCTGTGTTAGGAGCCACCGGACAAGTAGTTGAGGCGGTCTTTCTCCTCCTACTCCGTCTCCGGGCCACCGGACTCGGGACCCCTGACTCGAGACCACCAGACTCGGATACCCCTTGACCACCAAAGATGGGTTCTCCCAGCCCACTGAATCAGGAGGATCTTCGTGACGTTCAAGGAGTCTTATAAATTCCCCAAACGTCAACCTCTGCAAACCTCTCATAATTCCAAAAGGGATGGGCTCATCAAGTGCATACTTAATGCAGTGAACTTCTGGGCAAAGTCCTTCACCTTAGTCCTCTGTTGCCAAAGAGAGGCCAACTCCCTGAATCTCACAATCCGTTCGTATAACGGGCATGACAAAGGATGGGCCGGTGGTTCCTTTGAGCTCCTCCTCCTCTGAGTCCTCATGATGGCTTGTTCGTTCTGTCACGGGGTGTTTGTGGAAAGGAGAGCGAGGACTCAAATGCAGAGGATGAATGTTTAATGAAAAGTAGAAAATAAATCCAGAATATAACAAAACAGGTAACGGAACAGGTCAAAGATTCAGAACACGAGTAGACATCAAATGTAACGAACAAGCACAGGAGATTAAATAGGGGAACAAACAAAGGAGGGTAACGAGCAGGACAGGTGGGACAAATTAACCAATAATCAGATAACAAGATGGGAGGGGCTATACAATAGACAGGAGAGCACATGGCACAAGAAAATAAATGACAAGCCACGTGCTCACAACAACACTATAACACCAAAACATGACAAACCTAGGAATGTCAGAGCTCTGTCACCAAACCAAGAAATAACCAGACTGAAGTGACAGAACTGTGACAGTCGGCCCATTCTCCTTTGACCTCTCGCATCAACAAGGCATTTTCGCCCACAGGACTGCCCCATACTGGATGTTTTTCCCTTTTCACACCATTCTTTGTAAACCTTAGAAATGGTTGTGCGTGAAAATCCCAGTAACTGAGCAGATCGTGAAATACGTCAGGCATCAACAACCATGCCAAGCTCAAAACTGCTTAAATCACCTTTCTTTCCCATTCTGACATTCAGTTTGTAGTTCAGGAGATTGTCTTGACCAGGACCACACCCCTAAATGCATTGAAGCAACTGCCATGTGATTGGTTGATTAGATAAATGCATTAATGAGAAATTGAACAGGTGTTCCTAATAGTCCTTTTGGTGAGTGTACTGTATGTTCTTTAGCTTTAATGGACTTTGTCTTAGTTTCCTGCCACTCGTCTGTTTCCATGGACACTAATTCAATCATCACAGCTGTTATTCACTCAGTTCATCTCCTCCCTGTTCACTCTCGTTCATCTCCTCCCTGTTCACACCCGAGTTTACTTTATTATTAAAGACATTTTGCATTGGAACCTGTGGACTTTCATTTTCATCGTTTTCATCTTTGTGACAATCACAATATATCAACTATTTATTTATTTATTCATTCAAGCTGTAAATAAGGTTGTTACAATACTAAAGATTCAGATATTATCTCAGATTATTCATTATATATTATATTATTCAGATATTATTATATTATCATTTTAGATAATTTTTATAGTCAAAACGTTAACTAGAATAAAATGAAAGAAGTCTCTTGCTCTCCAAGGATGCATTTATTTGATCAAAAATACATTGAAAAACGTAATAATATGAAATATTGTTACAATTGAAAATAACTGTTTGTTATTTTAATATTATTTTATATTCCTGTGTTGGAAATTATTATTGGAGTTCAATTATTAATAATGGTTCTTATGATTATCATTATATTTTATTTCTAGTGGAAACCATGCTTTTGACATCTTAAAATATATACAAATAGAATACAATCATGCAAATAATATTTTACAATATTGCCGTTTTTACTGTATTTTCAAAGCTCAAATGAATGAATAATTCCCTCAAAAACATTAAAAAAATCATAATAATTCCAAACTTTTTACCATTAATGCTCACATATGGAAATTAATTCATTAAAATCCTCACCTGTGTTCTAAGCTTGATCATATCCGCCTCCACCTGTGAATTTGATTCATGTAAATCTTTGACATCTTCATCCAGCTGTTTAACATCTGCATCACAGTCTAAACCTAGAGTGAGAACAGACAAACTTGATGTATAGCAGAAAAAGCAAATACCTGTACATAAAAACACCCTATCATTTTACAGTATGATACTGTAATTGGACTCTTGAATGGTTTGAATTACTCCCAGGCATTACAAACCACTTATCTATAATTGGTATTATTACAGACATGGATCATAATTTGCGTTTTTACTTTTGAAAAGTCTTGTTGACTGGTTTTGATCCGAGTTGTGAGATTTAAGACTTTTTCTTTACCATTGCTTGCTTGCTGTTTTATAGTGAGCATCTCCACTCCTGACAGTCGGGCTTTCTTCATCGCCGCTGTGGCACGTGGGCAACCAGAGAGACTACAAAAATGAGAGAAAGGAGAATGTGGAGCATGAAATATGGATTATTAACACTTCTCCCCAAAAAGAGACTGTGACTGTGTATTATTTAGTTTTGGTGGTCAGCAGTTATCTACTACTAATGTCTTACTTCACTTTACACTAGAAGTCTGGGGTCAGGAAAATGTTGTTGTGGAAAGAAAAATTAATACTTTTGTAGAGCAAGGATGTATTACATCGATCAAAAATGTCAGTAAAGACATGTATAATATTTACAAACGATTTCGGTAACGCTTTAGATTGCAGTCTGGAAAGTACTGTGTAATTAAGAGGAATTTACAGTGTAACTTTCTGTAATTATAGTGTACCACGAAAATTAAAATATTATTTATACTCTAAGTGTTATAGAACAAAGGGGTACTTATTCTGATACAACAATTTTTATTTACTGCGTACCTTTTTGTAGCAATTGTGTATCAATGCATACTGTATAGGCTTTTAAAAATGACAGGGTACATCTATGCATTTATAAATAAAAACATTTCTAAATTTTTGGGCTAACATGTTTCAAGGCAAGAAAAGCTAAGACTATTGCAATTCTTAAAAATATACTGGGAAATATATCTGGTTATGGTCACAGGGTAAGTTGTGTTTGTATAATAAATAAAGGAGTCAGTGATATACGATTGTGTTTGGGCATTTTTATTGTACTTACCCTTTAATTACATGAAACAAAGGGGAAAAAGCACCAATACATGAAACAAGAGTAGCCTATCTTTCCCCAATATTTAGGCAAAAGTTGCAATAGTTTTCGTTTTCAGTGCACTTTTGTTAACAAGATTACTTTATAAATGCATAGATATGTACCCTGTAATTTTTAAAAAGCCTATACATATGTACTGGTTCACCATTATTTCAAAAAGGTATGTTCTTGCTAAATTGCTCCCAAAAGTAAGATTGTTATATCATAAATAGTAGAATAAGTACCCCTTAGTTCTACAAATATAATACGTACAGTGTAGCCTAAATCATTTTTTTAATTCTCCTGGTTGTTACCCCTTTATTCCCCAAACTCAAATTATTGTTCCCGTATACTTATATTGTAATTACCGAAGGTTACACAGTAAAATCGCTTTAATTACGCATAACTTCCCGGGCTGTAATCTAAAGCGTTACCAATATTTCTATTTAAAATAAAGGCCGTTCTGAAAAGATATAATGATTTCTGAAGGATTCCGTGACAATGAAGCCTGGAGGAATAAAGCTTTGGTCATTGGAATAAATTACATTTTAACATATATTGAAATAAGTGCAGTCTTGGTGAGCACAAGAGACTTTTTTCAAAAGCATAAAAAAACTAAAACGTAATGATCCCAAACTTTTCAACAGTATAAGTGGTATAAATAAATGAAATTTTCTTATATTTTCATACAAAAACAAGAACAAAATTCTTTGCAGAAGTTGACAGACCTATAGTCAGTATTTGTTGTCATTAATGTACTTGCTACATCATACAGGGCAGCAGAGGGCACTCTCACCTAAATATTGACCGGACTCACATGCTGTTTAGAATAGCATACTACCGTATGACTACTGTATCTGGAGTAGGTACTCTGTTCACTGCACAGTATGTACATTTTTCTGTATGCATGAAATTACCCATAAAAATAGTGTAGTAAATATATAGCAGGGGTTATCTGGCCCTTGAGGTCCCCTTTCCTGAATAGTTTAGCTCCAACCCTAATCAAACACACCTGAACAACCTAAAATCGAGGTCTATGGAGAACTGGAAACTCACAGACAGGGGAGTTTGATCAAGATTGGAACTAAACTCTGCAGGTAGTGGACCTCGAGGGCCAGGTCTGAGAAGACCCCTGATGTGTATACTGTACATACTATGCTAAATGAGACAGCTGCACAGTCTGCAGTTCACTAGTATTCCATCCTCAGTGTAGCCCTGAGAACACTGCTATGGTACCATCTGTTTCTGTTAGTGTATAAACAGCCTGGTGAATGTATCGTGTGCAGATCCCGAACACTACGGTCGTCTTCTTGTTTGTTGTTCCCTTCACTCTGTTTCTATTCTTGATGCTGTTGTTTGGGGGAGGATAAAAGATGTTACTCTCTGGTGTAAGAGTTCCTCTTTTTAATGTTCCTCTTGCCCACAGATGATATTAGATCTCATCTCAGCACATTTATTGAAAGGCTATAGTCTTTTTAAATTGGTCTTTTAATCTGAATGGTTTTGAAGATATAATTTTTGTTGTTGTTGTTGTTGTTGTTGCGTAATAGTGATCTGTGTATTTCCATTATGTAACTTGGACATAACATGTTTTGTGTGTGTGTGTATATATTTATTAATGAGGAATTTGATTTAGACTTGTTTTTAAAATTAATTAAAGTAAGTTTAAAAGATAAAGTGGGGTTAGATGTACCACTAAGAATTGGGTCAGGGGTTGTTGGTGAGAATTGGGTCAATTGTTGATGAATATTTAATTACAATTATTACAAATCGTATTATATTTTTTTGTTTGATTTCATGCGGCATTGTGGAGACCGATCATCATTTGATTTTAAGCAGTGCAAGTTGGTCATAAAATGTACTTATTTTGCAAAGTACCTACATTATTGCCAAACTCAGTGACTGTTTTGTAACAGTAACAAGGTCTAAGGATTATGATTGTAATCATGATTCCCAGAGAAGGGCAAAGAGCCACTGCATCTTGGTTTGATGCTATGGGGACAGCATCAGCGTGAGGTACCAGTTTCATTGGCCAATGACAGTCTATGACATTATTACCAGAGCGCCCATGAGTATAGACAGCCCATTCTCACCCCCAAGGCGTCACTTAACTGACGCCTTGGGAAGCATTTGGACATGCTTCAATATCTGACGCTTTAGGCGCCCTTTAGCGTCAGTAAGATGACGCCCTAGGATCGCGTGTACCCTACCCCCACCCCACACCTAAACCTAACCGCGTCCTCTAACAGACGCTTTCCTTTAGCGTCAGTTAGATGACGCCGTAGGATCGCGTCATGTAAGTGACGCTAAAGGGCGCCTAAAACGTCAAATATTGAAGCATGGTCAAAGGTGACGCCTTGGGGTGAGAATGCGTTGGTATAGAGGGTGCCTACAATGTACATCATCAACTTCTTTGTCTGAATGAGATGTGCTTGCAGGCCTGAGGCATGGCTACGAAACGCAGTGTCTCGTTCCCCTTCTCAGAGACCCATAGTTACAGTCATAACCTGAGACATTCCCTTTCAAAGTCAAACTTAACCCTTAATTTTGGATTGACACTATAGAGAACAAATACCCTCTAAGCCATGCTGAGGGAATGCCTCCCTCATTAGCTGTGCCTATGCACAATCAAAATGGAGATAGCATAAGTTGACGCTATGGACTTACTTAGGCGGAGACAGATGTGTCAATCATTCAGGGGTCATCCTAAGACCCATAAAGGCTGTCTAGTGGTAGTATTCCCATTACCCAAGCTTCTATGCTCTATGACCTGGCCTTTACAACCTTCCTCCCTTCCTTGTGGGGCCAGACATTAGCCGCATGAGGCCCAAGAGCAGAGCTCTAAGGTTTAGCTTTGTCAACATCTCTTGTTTGACACAGCTCATAGGGAATACATGCCCCATCACTACCTCCAGAGGAGCATATACAGGAACTGCAGGAACTCATTATCCTCATTCTAAAACTCAAAGCCTTAGGGAACCGCAGGGGAGCTTCAGCTCTACTGCCCCAGAACAATTGGGGGGGAAAGTACTTTCATTCTGCCTAGACTTGTCCAGCATCCAAAGACGCACAGCACTCAAAAAGAAGCCCAATAACAAGAAGGGATGCTACAAGAGAAATTACCGCAGCATGTTAGGTTCTATATGGATTGGTTAAGGCTCCGACGGGGAGTGGCGGACCCCAAAGAGGGGTGCCCCCCACCCCCCTTACTTAAAACCCCAACAGTAGTTGGGGAGGGAAGCAAACCAGGTAGAGGGGGTCAAAGTGGATAAAATAAACTTCTTAATAATCCAACCACCATTGCAGGGTTTGGATCCCACCAAAGGAGAACAACGTCATGATTGGCGAGAGCTAACTCAGATTGCTCTCTCATTAAAGGATATTCAAGCAGCAACTAAAGGGAGCCTATGTCACTTAAGGCTACCACCCTCGGAATCAAACCATATAATAAGAATTAGTATAATGATGTTACGAAAACTTTGTCAAGATTTCTTGTTACTTGGTTCCAAATGCTCACGTACTTCCTTACTTAACACCCCACCCCAGAAAAAAAAGAAATGAGAAAGGAATTTAGTAGCTCTACCACCAACCTGTGCCAGACCTGTCAGAAGGCGGTTCGTTATATAATCAAAGCCTGCCAGTTACATCATCGGTCCAGCCTCAGGGCCTGACGTAAATGCTTGGTACAACTACTTGTGCCCCCCACACACACCTTTATTTGACCTTGTTTACCAAATTGCTTCTTATTAATTACTTCCCTCAGATCTAGACTTTTCATCCTAGCATCCCGCCTCCTCTGTGCTCTACTCCTCGGAGGTGCGCGAGTGGCCACGCTCTCCCTTGACACTGTCAGTGTCAGGGTCATAAAGCGACCTTGAGCTACGGAAAGGCGCTATATAAATAAAACTTCTTCTTCTTCCCTCTGGCCCTGGGTCTTGGGAAGAGATCTAAATGTCCCCAGGATGTACTTTCTGAAAGCTACTGACTGTGCCTTTGCCTCTGTAATCTTACTAACCACTGTCTCTACAGATGTACCGAAAAATTCAGAGGGTTAGGAAAGTTTTTCTCCTTGATATCCGCCAAGTTCAGCCACAAATATCTCTCCTGTGCAGTCATCGCCGCCATTGATCGACCAAATGGCAGAATTTGTTTGTTTAGTGATCTGTGATGTGGCGCAACTCAGTGACCGCTTGAGTCCCTGACCCTGATCCAAATCACTTTGCAGATCATCACGTGTAAGCACCACTGGCCTGATCTGCTGCCACATATGCTCTAACATTTAAGAGAGAGGTGGTCTGGAACGGCTTGGAAAGCAGGGTCGATGCCTTTAGAGAGGATAAGGATTCACCCAGAGAGAGGAAGCTCACAAGAATCTCTTCAAAAGGACACTGATCTAATCTAGCCGTGGTGCGGGCCATCACATCTAGACAGTCCCTCCAGGATTTCACGATTTTTTTTTGTGATTTTTGCGATCAAAATGACTGATTTTGTGGTGGTAATTTCCAAAAATTTGTGAAAAAATTTGAGATTTATATATAACATTTACCATAATAGTATTCAGTCCTTCCAGAAAAACAAGTTTTTTTGTGATTGTTGCGGGCAAAAATTGATTGATTAGCCTACTCGGCCCGTTTTCTTTAAAAATGCGATGGAATATGCGGGATATTTATGCAATTTTATGCGATGAAATTGCAGGAATTTGCAAAAATTGAGAGAACTTGCAAAAATTGTGGTTTGATGAAAAAGATTTCTCTTTTTCAGTGATTCCCCCAACATCCTGTTCTCACCAGGCTAATGTAAGAGTCATTTCTTATTACTTCCTTTGATAAGCAAGCATACTACATCATAGAAAGTGCTGGGAATATTTAATTTCTCATCTTGTTTTATTTCAGACTGTAACGAGTGTAAATAAGGTGTGGCCCCTTTAAGAGCTGCGCTCCCTGTTGAACTCTCTGCAGTGTTATATTATATGTGCGCCTCAAACGCCCCATGTGTGCGGGTAATTTCTGTTTGATGCTACTTCTTTTATCTTATGTTGTTTATTAAGTAACGATGTGACGGTAGAACGTGTGACAGACAGTTATACGAGTTCGATTTGTGAGATGTCAATCGCCTCCGTGAGTCTGTCCGGCGTCGCGTAATTGCGTCACTTCATAATGTTCCCATGGAAACAGGGGAAATGGCTGCTCTTGTGTGAAGCAAACGCAACATTTTTTAACTTTCTACTAAAATACACGTGACTTTTTTTGCAACGAAAATGCGAGGATTATGAAATTATGCAAACCCCGCATATTTTGCAAGGAAATCGGCAATTTATGCGGCGAAAGTGCGGCGTATTTGAAAAAATGCGGCCCCCGCATAAATATGCGGACTTTGGCTGATTTTGCATTGAATTCAGCGATCGCATAATCGAGTTTTACTGGAGGGACTGTCTAGAAGTTCCTCTTATGCTGAAATTTCGCCCTCCACACCCTGGCTGGCGCCAACTGCATGCTATCTGCTAGATCAGAGACAAGAGACAGCATATCCTGATCCAACAGATCGCTCGAGCCAGGGCTGAGTAGCGCGAGAGACCCATACCTATTCGATCTCTACAGCCAACTCGACCTGCGATCCCCACGACTTCAGTCTCCATTGTGCCTCGTCTACAGCGGGACCCGAGCTATGGGCTGCAGATGCTTTACCCAGATCCCTTGGGAATAAGGTCAAGCGTGAATGGAGTTTGCATTTTTCTCTCAATGGGCACATTCAGCTCCCTTGAGAACTAGACATGTGTACTCCACACCCAAACACAACGCACAGATAGCGTGTTTCCTCAGGTGTTAAAAAGCTGGGACATGAAGGGACACACTTCCTGAAATTGTTTTATTAATAAAGTGTGGGAGGAGCACGTTCAGATAATTAACATGTGTGGAGAGCACTCAATAATCAATGGTAAAAGAGGTGTTTTATAGACTCAACAGTCTCACCTCAATCCATTGACAGTTTTGCAGCACCCCTCCACTGCCCCTTCTCCACACTTCTAGTCCCAACTTTCATAGGGGGGAGTACTCTGGCTTCGGGCCGAGCTCGGAGCCCTCCCCCCGGACAGCACGCCAAATGCTCATTAAAGGGAAACTCCACCCAAACAGGACAATTTTGCCATAATTTACTCACCCTCAAGTTGTTGCAAACCTGAATGAGTTTCTTTCTTCTGCTGAACACAAAGGAAGATATTTTGAAGAATGATTGGAACCAAATGGTTGTTTGGCACCATTGACTTCCATAGTAGAAAAAAAATTACTATCGAAGTCAATGGTGCCAATTTTCCAATCGTTCTTCAAAATATCTTGAATGTCGATGTGACAATGTGACATCATTGAATGTCGTCGGCCAATGAAATTGTCATATTTGCTCACAAGGTTCAGACACTGCTCACTCTGATGACATCCCCATAACATCTTAATGTTATATTTGGTTGTATTCATCATCAAAACAAATCTGACAAGAAAAATATGGACCCTACTTTATAAGTTTTTAGCTTAAATATCTATCAGTGAAGCATAGCCAAATAAGGTAACAATGCATAACATTAACTAACAATAAGCAATACATTTGTTACAGTACGTATTAATACTCTGTTAATATTAGTTATTGCAATATTATACTGTGTTCAAGGCAGGTTTTTGAGCACGTAAATCACGACTTCAAACCACGACTTACGACTTTGTAGCATTCCAGGTCATTCACGCCAAACTACCTAGATGTAAACAAACCAGCATGGCGGACCTTACGGCACTCAAGCGCATTTGTAATAATTTCTAACGCCAAAGGTGCTTACTCCTTGTTTATTTGTGGGAAACTGAGGAGGAAAAATAGCGCATGAATCAAGATAAGCTGTTATACCTTTTATTTTACTTTATTTGTATATTTGGAAATGTATTTGGTATTAATTTATCCTTGCACTCAATGGACTGAAAACTAGTTAACGTTATATTGTCCTAAAGTGTATTCTCACCGAGTAGAAACACTGCATCCGGGGCTGTCATTGTAGTTTTGTATAGGTTCGCGGGCTATGTGACATCAGAACTCGTAACTGGGAGTACATCGGTCTAGTACGAGTTCACGGGTGGGAAGTCACGGGTTTGACTGCCGTTCCAGTGCACTTTCACGGGTATAAGGTTGGAAAAACACGAGTCACAGGTTGCCTGGAACGCGGCATTAGTAAGGTGATCTTTTTTACAGTGTACATTATTAAAATCAAAAGTTGATTGAGCAACTCATTGTTAGTTAATGTTAGCCTACTTAATGCATTAACTAAAGGGACCTTATTATAGTTTTACCTATTGTTACTTACCTAGTGTGTTACCATGGTCTTTGTAGTTCTTCTTTGCTTTAAAATTTTTGTGTGTATTGTTTTATTGTATATTTAAATGTTCAGAGATTTTTTGTAAGAGAAAACGTTATAAAAATCGGCTAGAGGACAACACTTTATTGTAAATTAATTCAATACGTGATACCATATAGGTTACCATGATAAAAAGCTTCAGAAATTACCTCCAGCAAAACTTTGTGTACGTTTTGTATTCTACTTATATTGTCCATATACAGTATACCCCCTTTTTAAGCTAAAACACATTTTAAAAATGTGCATTGTGCTGCTAAAGTTTCGCGCTCCTAAATTTTTTAACTTAAGAGCACTTAATTGTGCTCCTTAGGGAAAAAAGTAAGCATCAAGCCCTGTAAAATAATATTAACACATGCTTTTTTAATATATATACATATATAAAGATCAATAAACAGATCACCATCTCCACAACTTTTAATTATGTACTATTTGTAAATATTGAATCTGAATGTTTTATGTCACTTGTAATTAGCATTATTGGGTTTCATTGGGTTTCAGTGTAAATAATTTCTTCAGCAAATAAAAAAGCACCTTCTGTGGGTCAGGAAACTGCCGCTGACGTGTCCAGAGCCGTCACAGCCCGGGGTTGGACACGACATGCCGTCTGCCTTCCCAGCCTTCCATGTGAACTGGGAGCCGCTGATGTAGCCGTCCTTCTGCCGTTTGGCCGCTAGAGGGCAGCCTGACGCGCTGCGGTGGGACGCGTATTTACCCGTTATGTGACCCTGGCCATCACAACCTGGCACCGGACACCTGCAAACACAAACAAGCCACTGTTACACGGGATCTCTGTCACACATGCTAAATCAATGTCATTTTACATTTTCGTTACTTGAAATAAAATAAACTTAAAAAAATCTTAAATGCTTTTTATTTTTAGCTAGTTGACAAGACAGCACCTCATTTTAAGTACAAAATATGAATAAAATGAATAAAAACTGTTACTACGAATATAAACACTTATTATAGGTGTACCCCAGTGATTCAGGATAAGACTAAAAACAAATGGATTCAGGATGTACTCGCCTATTATAAACATTTTGTAAACTTTGAACACACAAAAAAGTTACGGACTACAGCTTTAATGTTAAACATTGGCTATTTTTGAACAACTTGCTGGTAATTACTATATTTGCAGTATTTACCTGATTGGCTCCTGGTCCTCCTTGTCCTCTTTACTGTGTGTTATCTTTATTCCAGTCTTCCGAGCACGTGGACATCCTGACAAACTGGGGAAAAACAAGCGGTTGTTGCTTCGACTCTTGTGAAAAAGTACACTATGGCATTCATTTAAGACAAGTACTTACTATGTACTTGTAAATAAATGTAAACGTACTTTTGAAGAATACACTGAATGTAATGTTTTCAGACATTTAATTAAATGCTATTTACAATTACATAAGTAATTTAAATTTATATTAAATGCAATGAGTGCTCTATGGCCCACTTAAGTAGGACTTTAGATATCATTTCATAATTGTTTCTATTGTCTTCGAAGTATTGTCAAAGTGTACTGTACTGATAATAATTTCTGTTAACTAAAACATACTTAAATTCCATAAAACTTGCATATCTTGTAATTACATATTTGTAATGATGAAATTTAGTAGATTTAATATAAATTAAATTTAATTGTAACATTAAATACTGTTAAAATTATAATCAAGTCCTTTACATGTGCTTTATGTCATGCTTTAACATCTTTAAAGCATGACAAAAAATGATTAAAACAATGATTTAAAATTTATTTTAAGCAATTTATTAAAAGTTGACTCAAGTGTGTAAAGAAACCAGCCCGTTCTCATCCTTTAGCGTCACATAGAACGCTATATGACAAAACGGCGCTATACTACGCACATGGCACCCTTTATCGTTAATATTCATGCGAACCCAAGGCGTCATAAATCCTTTAGCGTAATATCAGACTACCCTACCCTACCCCACACCTAAACCTACCCATCACAGCGCGTGTTATATTAACGATAACGGGTGCCATGTGCGTAGTATAGCGCTGTTTTGTCATATAACGTTCTATATTACGCTAAACGATGAGAATGCGTGTGGCCCTATAATTCATTAATATTATCGGCAAATGCCGTTTCTTTTCCACAAGGGAGTGTGTGTGTGCATTACCTTCTGTGTGAAGCGTAGTTGCCAGTAATATGTCCCGAGCCGTCACAGCCCGGGGTCGAGCACCTGGGACAGAAATACACCCTGTTACTGCCCAGCATGCACAAGAAGAGCCCTGATGTATCATCATCAACTCCTACGACAGCCTTTCCACAAACCTTCCAACTAAAAGGAAACGTCATGTACTGCTTATTGAAATGAAGGGAAGAAGCTTCACAGCATGGAGCAGTGCATTCATTGAGCCATTGGAGAAAAAATTGGGCCTAATAATCTGATACAAAACAATGAGCTCACAAAACCTAATGGATTATTAGGAACACCATACTAATACTGTGTTTGACCCCCTTTCGCCTTCAGAACTGCCTTAATTCTCCGTGGCATTGATTCAACAAGGTGATTGATTCTTTAGAAATGTTGGCCCATATTGATAGGATAGCATCTTGCAGTTGATGGAGATTTGTGGGATGCACATCCAGGGCATGAAGCTCCCGTTCCACCACATCCCAAAGATGCTCTATTGGGTTGAGATCTGGTGACTGTGGCGGCCATTTTAGTACAGTCAACTCATTGACATGTTCAAGAAACCAATTTGAAATGATTGGAGCTTTGTGACATGGAGCATTATCCTGCTGGAAGTAGCCATAGGAGGATGGGGACATGGTGGCCATAAAGGGATGGACATGGTCAGAAACAATGCTCAGGTAGGCCGTGGCATTTAAACGATGCCCAATTGGCACTAAGGGGCCTAAAGTGTGCCAAGAAAACATCCCCCACACCATTGCACCACCACCACCAGCCTGCACAGTGGGAACAAGGCATGATGGATCCATGTTCTCATTCGGTTTACGCCAAACTCTGACTCTACCATCTGAATGACTCAACAGAAATGTAAAATGTTTTTCCCTTTTCACACCATTCTTTGTAAACCCTAGAAATGGTTGTGCGTGAAAATCCCAGTAACTGAGCAGATTGTGAAATACGTCTGGCACCAACAACCATGCCACGCTCAAAATTGCTTAAATCCCATTTCTTTCCCATTCTGACATTCAGTTTGTAGTTCAGGAGATTATCTTGACCAGGACCACACCCCTAAATGCATTGAAGCAACTGCCATGTGATTGGTTGATTAGATAATTGCATTAATGAGAAATTAAACAGGTGTTCCTTTAGGTGAGTGTATAATGCACTGCTGTGAGATGTTTTCTAACTATCCTCCTGACTGGTTTTGACACAGATTACATTCAAGTCATTGTGTGTCATCAAATCAAAATCACACACACAAACACTGAGAGTATACTTCAAAATACTCAATACACAGGAGAAAATACAAGTGTCAGTTCACACTTAAGTATATTATATCTATATTCTTAAAAGTATGCTAAAGTGTACTTGTTTTTCACAAGAGAATGTCAGGGGTCATTTATAATTCGCAGTAAGCTGTAGTCACATATTTATCATCAGTGATATTTTAAAAGTAAGGTGTTGATAAACTAATTTGTGTGGATTTTTAAGTACATTGCATTGTAGTTGCATGTCAATATATATGGTGGCCACTGATCCTTTGGGTCTGAAGTGTAAAAACATTATCTTTTAGAATATAACCAATCTAAAAAAACAAGGAACTCACGCACACTATCAATACTTGCAAATATACAACTCTTCAAACTCAATCCCATTTAAAATGATCAAATGACCAATCACCGTAAAGATTCAATTTGTAACCAATTAAGCTCAATGATTTCCCACACACCCATCACCCGCAGATGTGCAATGGTGATTGCTGTTAAAACTGATGAAATGTCATTTTCAGGCACAAATGTCCTGAGTATGAGCCATGTCTGTGCTGTACAGTTTGATACTTACTTGAGTTCTTGTGAGTTGGTGGCCATCATACTCCGAATGCTTTTATCTGCTAAAGGACAACCTGAAAGACTAAAAGGTTGCATATTCAGATGTTAGTCAAATAAACTGCTGGTAAGACATGCAACCAATGCTAAAAAAATAAACACACACACACACATACATAATCCACAAATGCAATAAAGACACGGTGCAAGCGAAAGGACATCTACTCTGTATTTAGTAACCCTCTGATTAGCAAAGCATTATAATGGTTTTTATTCTCTCGAAATTAGCACTTGTAAGATTAGGCTGGGTTAAGGCTCAGTTTTGGCGTTTCTGGTTAAAGGGTGGTGTCAATATGGTTAACTTATGGCTGAGAATTGGTACCAAAAATAAAGCCTGTTTTGGCCCAGTTATTAGCACTTGTCCCAGGATTTTTGGTGAAATATTGAAAGTGTTAACATGGATAGGCAGTCTGATAAGTAAGCTGAAAACAATAAATTCATTGAACTGAATCCACCATTAAAAAATGTAGTCACACCTTCTGTGTGAGGCGTAATTACCGGTTACGTGACCACTCCCATCACACCCTGGTGTTGGACATCTGTCTCCAGAAAAAATAGACAGAATGAAAGGCCAAAATACAAAACATAATAAAGGAAACAAAATATTATACTACCAAAAGTAAAAAAAAGTCTGGTAAAAATGGCAACACTTTAATCTAGTCCCCAGGTGAGCATTTCAACACCTTACAGGGGTACATGTTAGAAACGTTCAAAGACCTGAAATGTTTTCATTAAGGCTGCCAATTTATTTTATATATCTATATACAATTAAATATATGACGTGTTGATTAATGAATCAAACGAATCGCAACTGACAAATGAAGATACTACTTCCCATTGCTCCAATAGTGGGAACATTCTCTGTGATATTTTCAACCAAAATCTTTCATTTTCAACCACAGTGGTTCAGATCAAATATGATACTTATTAAAATTAAACCCATACCCTAAATTTCTTGACGTTTTTACATAAATGACTGCTAACTCAATTTGTAAAATGTTAAACTAACATCAGACTATTTGACAATGGGCTATTTGTTCCACTTAAGACAACTAATCATATCTTCATTGATGCTTTCTGAGTGTTGTTTACACTTGCTTATCAGAACCGACCATTGTCTAAATTCATTTATTACTTTCTCCTGTTGTGTGCCCCAGCATCAGACTTTTCATCTGCAACATCTGATCATATTTTCATTAACACTTTTTGAGAATGACTGATTTTCGATTTATTAAAATCTCTTAACAATACTGACAGTGTCACGTCACAGCCGGATCTAACTGCAGACGTCTTTATTTATTTACAACTCAAAAAAAACAAATACTCTAGATTCAATAATATGAAAAGACCCGAACAGAACAACAATCATACATTGATGAGAACGAAACGAAAACTGTCAGAAAACAGGATTATGTTAGGTTAAATATATACCAATGGAAACCAATTAAAGAAATGAGAAACAGCCAACAATGCCAACCAAGGAAACCGAAAACAAAGCAATGATACTATGAAAAACCAATAAGAGTCCGACATAATGTGACATTACCCACAGTCCAACAGAGGAGGGTGGGAGGGGGCTGAGGGGGAGGATGCAGAGGTGGTGGAAGAGACAACCAAGGAAGAAGAAGAAGCCAGGTAGGGGATGATGGTGGTAAGAGCCAGGGAGTGATCCCCAAAAGAAAGACCCGGAGGCAGTACCAGGCCAGGAACCAAGGAGGAGCCAGGGTGGAGCCATGAGCCAGACCGACTGAGGTGAAGCCGGGTGTGGTGGAGACCCATGAGTAGCCAAAGAGTAGAAGAACCAGAATTGGAGGGCTGAGGTGGAACAACAGACTTGTGGGACTGAGGTGGAGAAGGAAGGAGAGAGGTAAACGGTGGAGCTGGATGGAAGGAAGAGACCGTTGGAGCCAAAGGGGTGGAGGGATGAGGTGTAGGTGGAGGACTCGTTGTCTGTGGCACAACCAGGGTGATAACTGAAAGAGGCCGAGCCAGAGTGGTGAGGGAGCCTAATGGATGATGGACCACCGTGGACCAGAGGGAGTGTGGAGCCAACGTGAATATGATGGGTCGACAGGCTGTGGTGGAATCCAGGGCTTGGACGGCCGAGGTGTAGCCAGGGGATCTATACACCAGGCTGGAGCTGGAGACCTGAAAGATCAAGGCGGATCTGAGCTGCTTGGTGAAGGCAGTGAAGAAGGAGCTTAAGGGCCAAAGGGGGCCAATGGAGATGGGGCTGAAGAACCAGATGGCATAGGCAGAAGAGGAAAAATTGGGAGGCTGTCCGAGAGCAACATAGACTTGGTGCTGAGCGGGAGCATTGGCGACGAAGAAGACTTATTGCTCGAAGAAGAAGGAGACTTGGAAATGGTCGAAGAACTATTGGCTCTCACTCCTGGTCAAACTCCAAAACTTGGGCTCCAGGATGAACGTACCGTCAGGGGTTAAGCTCCAGTAGGGATGTAAGTGGCTGCTCAAGCACCTGATCAGACTTTGCTCTCTGTGGCTCTGGGTCTGCGGTGGGCTCTGGCTTTCCATTCCTGTTGAGTTGGGGCTCAGTTTTTGCTGCCAACTCGGGCTCTAAGTCAGCAGTGGGCTCTGGCTTGTGCATAGCTACTTTAGCAGATGGTACTTTGTGGACTGTGGGCGCTGGTGATAGATGATTCTCCTCACTCTCATAGACAGTAAAGGGAGATCCACAATGTATAAGCACAGAGTCGATGTACTCCAGAAATGTTCCCGGAGGAATGTTTCCTGACCTGCCCGTAAAGACTCACACAGGTTTATGTTGGTTTGCTGGACGAGGTGGAACATATTTAAAATTGTTCCTCGGGAAACCGATCACCTTGTGAGAGGAGGAGGATTTGGGCTGAAGCAAGATCCATATTTGGGTTCATTTCTTGTGTCAAGCCATGGTAAAGTGCAAAGATAAAATAGAGCAGGATCTAACTGTAGCACTCTTTGTTTGTTTACAAATTTTAAAGGGGTCATGAACTGGCTTTTAAAATGTTATTATATTGTTGTCTGAGGTCGACTTAAGACGTTCGCTTGGTTTTTGCATTCAAAAACATCAAAATGAATAAGTAATATGCTATTTTGTACCCAAGTTGTGAGCCTTCCTGAAAAACGGTCGGGTTTTATGGGCGTGTCGCACTGAAGACTTGGAAATAAACATTGTCCAATGTTGTCAAATGGCAACCGGATTCGCCCATACATGTTCGACCCAGAGTCCGTGTGTTGCACAATTCCTGTCAGATCCAATATAGACGGCACAGCACCGTTCTTTACTCTTAATCGGTCTGCAAATCCAGTCTTGTTTACAAAACAATCCTCAGTGAAATGAAGCGAACAGACAGTGGTGGAGGAAGTACTGAATCTCAGTACTTAAGTAAAAGTACAAATACCCAGATAAATATTTACTTTAGTAAAAGTAGAAGTAACACAATGACAACCATACTTAAGTAAAAAGTAAAAAGTACTTTATTTTAAATGTACTTTAAGTATTAAAAGTAAAAGTACTTGCATAACAATTTATTATCTTAATGTCTATTTTCTAATGATTAATAAAACATTTAATTCTAACTCATTCAACCTAATAGCCTACTCCTATAGTGATGTTCAATAATGATGGAAAAAAATGTCACCATTTCTGAAACAAGCTTGCAATTAGACAATATCATGCTTATCCTTACTATTGGCAGTAAACGCGATTCTTTCATGGTGTAATTCTGAACCTCTTGGCTTGCCATAATCCTAACCAAACCAAACGTATATTACACACGGTGTGTTTCCTATGCACGTAAAAACAAATTTTCGCGTATGAGTTGCACGATAAACACACTGCGTGTGAGACGCATTTAGTGTGACCGGGTTGATATACTGTATCTATGGCAACCAAACGTCACTGGTGAGACAAACGTGCAACGAACGGACGGTCAGATGACGTTTTGGCAGGGGAAAAACTGATCAGGAAATGTAACGAAAATGTAACAGAAGTTGTAGAAATGTAGTGGAGTAGAAAGTAGAATAATTGCTGCAAAATGTAACGAAGTAAAAGTAAAAAGTAGGCACTATTTATTCTACTTAAGTAAAGTAAAGATACGTGAAAAATGTACTTAAGTAAAGTAACGAAGTATTTGTACTTCGTTACATTCCACCACTGCGAACAGACGACGATGTTTTACCCTCATCAGCTGTAACGTCATTAAAAATAAAGATTATCCATGAAGTCCTATTGGAATCCAGAGGAAGCTTATGCAGCGACTGTCTTCTTCCACAACCAGGCGCTGGACAATATTCTGTATTGCTCGGTAGAACGATCCGGTTTGTCATCACGAGGTAGGCATGTAAGTTAGGCTACTTAGCTATGCGTGTAATGCGTGAATCGGTGGGCGGGGCTAAACCGGCCGTGTTGAAGTAGGTGTTGATCTTCCTCTGCGGGGGTGGTGTTTTAACCCCTTCGACGTCATAGTTTCCCACTTTTCAAAACGAGACGTTTTCAGAGGCTGGTGTAAATAAAAGCTTTTATTGGACTAACAAGGACGTTTTCAGTTCTGAAACTTACAGGATATTCTTATAATATGATAACCTCTTAGATATCAAAAGCTCAAGGAAAATTTGATTTCTCAGTTCATCACCCCTTTAAAAATACAAAAATATTTAGGATTCAATAATATCAAAATATGCCAACAGAACAACCTTATCTGCCAATCTTACATTGATGAGAACGTAAAAAAAGGCTCAATATATACTGTACCAAGGAAAACCAACGAAAGAAACGAGAAACAGGTGTGGTGCATTAATAAAACAATGAATAAAAATGCCAACAAAGGAAACAGAACAGGAAACAATGATATTATGAAAAACCAACTGAGGGTCCAACTAAAACTCAGACGTAACGTGACAGACAGTCATTTAAATCTCTTAATAGAACAAAATTGACCAATATTTAATTCACTTAATAGAACAAAGCTGACCCATATTTAAATCTCTTAAGAGCAACATTTAAATCTCTTAATCGAATGAAACCGACCAATACGGATATAAGTGCTAGCCAACGCTATAAATGCAATATAGCTAGATCTAAATCCGGATGAACACTTGTATCGTCATAAATCATGCAGAGAAACATTTTTAAATTTGTTTCTCTTTAGATAATTGAATAAATGTGTTAAATTGACAGCTAACGGTTGGCGGTTAACGCAAAGTGTTGGCCAAATACCTATGATGCTGTTTTTATTGTTCATTGTTTCCAGTTTAGCTTCAGTCTGCAAGAGTGCTTAAGTCCTAAAATCACATCACATCCTAGGGAGAAGCTGTTTGAATGTTTAAAATCCATTAAGCGTTATATAAGTAAGTATACTCCGCCTTCTGACACTATGTTTATGTCAGATCATGTGGCATGCTGAAGCAAAGAGTGAGAGATGATAAAGAAGAGAAGTAGAACAGGAAGAGACAGTAGAACAGTGTAAAGGCTTGTGAAACATGGTGCGGTGGGTGATCACTCTTGCTTACGTTATCAGGTCCTTTTTGCTTTCTTTGCAAGGCGGAAATTTTGGTTTGGGACTGGGAATGCCAACATCAGTAGTGTATGCACTGTCCTCTAAAATGTCCTGGAAGGGATCCAGATCATCAGACTGTAAAAACAAAACCAGAAAGAGAAACAGAGACTTGTTAGTATTACTTGTTTCGGCACCTAGCTTTTATTTATAAACTGCATCAAATTTCTCCATTCTGTAATAATTTTTGATAGTCAGTTCAAATAATAATGTTTCAGACCCTGAGAACCTTTGACCTTTACTACTAAAATTATCTTTTTCTATTGACTGCCATTCAAAAGAAGCATTTGTGTGTGTGTGTGTGTGTGTGTGTGTGTGTGTGTGTGTGTGTGTGTGTGTGTGTGTGCGTGTGCAACATACAGTACAAATCGCAAATATATGATAATACATGTATATAAAAGAAATAATATTGTGGATTATCATTACAAATGTAAATAAAAGTTTTCTATTTGTATAATTTATTCCTGTGATTTTCAACATCATTACTCCAGTCATCAGTCGTATGATCCTTCAGAAATCATTCTAATATGCTGATTTGCTGCTCAAGAAACTTTTCTTATTGTAATCAATGTTGAAAACAGTGTAGATCGTACGTACTATTTTAATTTTGTTTTCACTGTGTTTCCTGTTCTGGTTTAGCCTGTGATCTTTGTGCCCTAGTTACTGATTTAATTTGTACTTATCGTGATTACTGTCCCTGTGGATTTAAAACCTGAGTTCTGTCTGTTCATTGTCTGGTATGATTATGGTTGTAGATAAAAATAAAAGAATGTTTTTTGCGTCGTTTTTTTGCGTCTCGTTTTATACTACTCTGCCGGGATCAAAATAACCGCTCGCTGAAGGACCATTCAAGGGAACTTTTTGATCTGACATGCGTAACTCACTCTCAGGACCTCTCAGTCCAAGGCACGCCTCACAGTGAACTGTCTCAGAGAGGATTTTACCGCAGTTTTGGAGTGGGTGCTGGTAAACAATGGACTGGCGTCCGTTATCTGCCCAGTGGAGCACATCACCAGCCTCACTCCAGACCCAGAGGCCAGCCAGCCACCACACACTTCACAGAGCGAATGCCAGAGCCCACTGCAGATAGTGAGCCTGAGCCTGCCACAATGCACAAGCTAGTGAAGAGGACTGAGCATACAATTGCCAAAGAGTCTGAGCCCCACAGAGAGCCAGACCAGGTGTGTGAGCCAATCCACCAATCCACCTTGGGCCTTCCAGTCTCCAGCTCCACCTCAGCACAATGATCCCCTGGCTCCACCTCCAGCCGGAAAGCCCATCATTCCACCTCGGCTTAGCGACCAGTTGACTTGGCTCCACTTGGCTCCCCCTTCCTCGGCCCCAACTGGGACCACTGTCTTTGCAGCTTCACCGGGCTCTCTCGTCCGCTCGGCTCTGCCTTGGTCAGACGTCGCTCTACCAGCACCATGGCCTTCAGCTGTGCTTCGTTCCTCCACCCCTTCAGCTCCGCTGGGCCTTCCCTACGGCTCCACATTGGTCTTCAGTCACAACGGCTTCTCCTCAGTCCTCTTGCACCCTGGCTCCACCTCGGACACTCATCACTACAGCTCCACCACTGTCTCCAGAGCCATCTGTGTGGCATGAGCTCATCTGGGTCTCATCGGCTCTTCAGCTCTACCTGGGTTTCATCGGCTCATCGGCTCTTCAACTCTACGCGGGTCTCATCAGCTCATCAGCTGTACCTGGGTCTCATCGGCTCATCAGCTCTACCTGGGTCTCATCGGCTCATCAGCTCTACCTGGGTCTCATCGGCTCTTCAGCTCTACATGGGTCTCATCAGCTCATCGGCTCTTCAGCTCTACCTGGGTCTCATGTGCTCTTCAGCTCTACCAGGCTCTCATCGGCTCATCAGCTCTACCAGAGTCTTATCGGCTCATCGGCTCTTCAGCTCTGCCTGTGTCTCATCGTCTCATCGGCTCTTCAACTCTACCTGGGTCTCATCGGCTCATCAGCTCTACCAGGGTCTCATTGGCTCATCAGCTCTACCAGAGTCTTATCGGCTCATCGGCTCTTCAGCTCTGCCTGGGTCTCATCGGCTCATCGGCTCTTCAACTCTACCAGGGTCTCATCAGCTAATCAGCTCTACCTGGGTCTCATCGGCTCTTCAGCTCTACCTGGGTCTCATCGGCTCTTCAGCTCTACCTGGGTCTCATTGGCTCATCGGATCTTCAGCTCTACCTGGATCTCATCGGCTCTTCAGCTCTACATGGGTCTCATCAGCTCATCGGCTCTTCAGCTCTTCAGCTCTACCAGGCTCTCATCGGCTCATCAGCTCTACCAGAGTCTTATCGGCTCATCGGCTCTTCAGCTCTACCTGGGTCTCATTGGCTCATCAGCTCTACCTGGGTCTCATCGGCTCATCAGCTCTACCTGGGTCTCATCGGCTCATCAGCTCTACCTGGATCTCATCGGCTCTTCAGCTCTACCTGGGTCTCATCGGCTCATCAGCTCTTCAGCTCTACCTGGGTCTCATCGGCTCATCAGCTCTACCTGGGTCTCATCGGCTCATCAGCTCTACCAGAGTCTTATCGGCTCATCGGATCTTCAGCTCTACCTGGGTCTCATCGGCTCATCAGCTCTACCTGGGTCTCATCGGCTCTTCAGCTCTACCTGGGTCTCATCGGCTCATCAGCTCTACCTGGGTCTCATCGGATCTTCAGCTTTACCTGGGTCTCATTGGCTCATCGGATCTTCAGCTCTACCTGGATCTCATCGGATCTTCAGCTCTACCAGGGTCTCATCGGCTCATCAGCTCCACCTGAGTCTTGTCGGCTCATCGGCTCTTCAGCTCTACCTGGGTCTCCACCTCCACCGGCCTTGTCTCCGACAGTTGTCCCCCCTGGTGTCTTCAGCCAAGTATCCACCATGGCTCCTCCCTCCTTTGACTCAGTCGTGGGTCATCGTCCTAGCTTCACTCTGGGTTCCCATCTGGCTACTTCTGCTCCTGGATCCTCCCATCATAATAATCGCTGCCTTGGTATCTCCCTCTATCATTTCCTCCGGTGTCCTGCCCTTTGCTAGACCCTCGTCCTCCTCCAAAGCCCGCTCCCTCCCTCCTTGGTTGGACTTGTTATGGCGCAGGGACATACCTTCTGGAAAGGGGGGGCGACTAATGTAATGTATATGTTCTGTTTTAGTTTTTTTTTTTTTTACTTTTTCTATTCTGGTTTGCCTGTGTTCTTTATGCCATGATTAGTTACTGATTTAACTCCACTGTTTGTACTTATTTTGATTACTCTCCCTGTGTATTTAAACCCTGAGTTATTTCTGTTTATTATCCAATATAGTTTATGGTTATGTGCTTGTTATTTTCTCCTCGTCACATTCTCCTGTTGATTGCTGTGTTTGGAGTATTGAGTTAAAAAGACTGTTCTTTGTTATCTCAGATTGTCGTGTGCTCATTACAGCCACAATGTGGCAAGGATTATTTAATGAATAGAAAGTGCAAAAGAAGAGAATTTATTAGAAAGAAATTACTTTTGATCAATTTAATGCATCCTTGCTGAATAAAAGTATGAATTATTTTCCTATATGCGTGTATTCTTAATGGCCCCAAACTTTTGGAATATTTCAGGATAGTTTGTTAGTGATGTGAAATGCGAGGGATTATGCTGTGATAAACATTTACAGTACAGTATGATACACAGTATGATTGCTTGTTTAATTCAGCAAGCACCATCCAGTTTTCAGTTATGATTTTCTATAAGAAAGTCATTTTGCATACTTAATACCGGATGTCTTGTTTAATAATGAGTCGAGGAGCCCCAGTTAAGAACCCCAGCTAACATTTCTCATCCAGTTCATTCAAAGCCCTGGAACTGGAAGGTGAAGTTGGGTGCTTTTCATTATGGGTTTCAATATTATTCCACACAGTTCTCTCTGTTATAAGGTACACATTTCAATGTTGGTCATCCTGGTATTCCATCCATAAAGAAAATCTGTTCACTGCAGAAATAGTAACAGTATGGTATGCTATTTAGATGTGTTTGATAGCACACATCCGTTAAGCATCAATGCATAATCCTTTACACCAGCAAAAAAGGGCACACCAGTAACCTTCAACAGGCCAAAAGATCTGCCATTAGCTGAGAGAAAACGTTTAAAAGAAGAAATTAAGAAATCTTTCAAGAAATAATTCTTTTTTTTCCCCACCACAAATAAATTATTGCATTATTTTAACTCCACCACAGTGAGTGTGGAATTCATAAAATTTGAATAGAATATTTAAATATGCAAAATTGACAGTTTTTGTATTTTAATTCAAGAATAAAAAATATATTAAATATTATAACTGCATTTATATTATAATTGTTCAAATGAATTTCTTGACAGAACCACCCATCCAACGCTTGCCTTCACTTTAAAAATACACAATTGCTCCCCACACTCAATTTGTATGCAAATGGCAATGTATCAGTTGGATGTTGAGGAGCACATCAATCAGTTTTTCCACAATTAACACGCCAGAGGATGTGAGAATTAATCTGCCAGTCGTGCAGCATCACGGAGACTTCTAGATTTCAGCCAAATGCCTTTAGAACAGCAGGATTTACACAGAGACTTTGCTGTCATGACGATAAAAAAGGGAAATTATAGAACTAGGTGGAGACGGAAATCAGAGTGCTGCCATACACTAGATGGCGGTGTGGTGACGTGACAGTGTGTGTGAGTGTGTGTGTGGAAATCTCCTCTGCTGCTCTGCGTGATACCTTTCACGTTTCAGGTTATCAAAAAAGCTCTTCAGCATCACCTGAATTATGATGCTTAAAACATTTTAAGACATATTTCTTCAACAGACCAGCAGTGCAAAGAAAGTAATACCATATGTAATTGTTCAGCATTCACTTTATGTATAACACCAGGGTGAATGTGATCTCCATATTTGGTTACAACACTGTCCCAATAAAATGTAAAATTTAGCTCCATATATAAAAGAATGTAGCACCTTATTCAAAACCAATTTGTAATGTGTGTGTGTGTGCGCGTGAATAATAAATCTGAATGAACAATAGTATTCAATGTTCAGCAAACAATTGAAATGTGGCTTATTGAGAAGT